GAGAGTAATGACCTAAACTTATAACCAGGGATCTTTACCTGAGAATGTTGACCTGTTAACTACAAAACGATGTTTTATACTTAAGAGTTTTGGTCTGTTCCCCTGTTCTAGATGTTGTAGTATATCCCTGGTTCCAAATGTGTGAAAATACTATTATATTTGGTTCATCAAATGCATTTTTGGGTCCTCTATAATGTAGCATCGGAAATCTGTTATGCAAATGTTTGTCCGGAAACTAGGTTATCATATTTTATCGCAGTAGTCTAAAACTTGTTAGATACTAGTATTCTCATATATGGCAGTACCCCGTCCATTACACCGAGATGTTTTAATTGTTTATTTGATTTACCTATTTGATCGATTTCGAAAATGTATTATAAAGATGGCCATGTAATGGTTCAATGCTTTTCTGTTTAAGTTTAACATTTCCCAGCTTGAACATTACGTTTTAGAGTTATATAATGTTGATAGAATCGTTACTTATGTGACATCAATTAAGTTTTTTGTCTCATTGCGTTGGAGTTACACGATGCTGGAGGACTACATTATGTTTAAGTCATTATGGTCACAGCCATAATTATTCTCTCCAATGATTATTTTCGACTCCTAAAGCTAGGGAAAAGTGTTCTGTGTGGCGTTCTCGACCCCCAACAGAGTTACTTATACAAAAAAATACCCACACACTTTGGAATGGCAATGAGTGGATTACTATTGGCTGGTTACTTTAATATGTCTCTATGGCGTGTTTGCGCACAGACGTTAGCGTGTTACTTATTCTATGTGAATGTGAAATCAAGCTAAATACGAAGATTGAGCACCAGAGTAGGACGGGTATAAGTAGTGTACAGATACTACAATCACGTCATAATTCAATCAATCCTAATGTGATTTGTTCATCAATAAACATGTGAAGGGTAACCAATGGTGTCTAACCAATTTCTTAGACATAAAGAACATCTCAAAACATAAATATTGATTTTTTTTTTTCGACAATTACGAGATCAGTAACTCGTATATACGAGAGGCTTTGTGGTAATTTCGACATGGAAATATTTCTACAAGTTGCACTTATGACTCTTGTAACAGACAATTAAACAACACTGAAAAATAACATGGTTTCAACATCTTCCATGATTAAGACATGCTTATTCGGCAAAACTCGAACTGCACGGTGCTTTCTTTTCTAGATTCGAAGAGGTACCTCACGCTGGGTGCCACGGGTGGCACAGGTATCGCTTACACTTCCGACACTCTATCGTCCCTCCTGGGTTTATTGGGGATCATGATGATGTCTTTCTTTGTTTGGTTGTTTCCACGGTTTCTGTTGTTCTCCGTATCGACTCTCCCGATTGTATTCTTGTATTGCGACGCTAAGCTGCATTAATCTCCTTGTAAGTGATGAATCTTTGGTGCCAATTGCGTACGCGGTACATATATTGTGCATTATAAATATATAATCTTCACTGTTTTGCATTAAAAAAAATGCGTTATGGGACGTGCCTGTGAGTAAAACCGAGTACTCAATATCTTAGACTAGCTGTCGATAGGGGTTCAAAATAGGTTATTTAAAGAAAATTCACGTAGTTGTTCATCTTTTGTAAATATTTGGAAAAAGATAGATTACAATATATAACAATTTCAACTTTTCATGTTTTAAAGGATTAAATCAATATTCGTCCTTGACCTCAGTAGACACGACACACATCTCTTACTACTCAACAAATCTGTGCTTATTCTTACATAATGACACAGAGGGAACTGTGCTATCTATCACGTTAATGTGTTTACTCACCTAAACTGTCTCTTTCGTCAAAGAGTTAGTTGAAATGAGAGAGTAAATAATCTTCCAGTTTCGATACGATGCTATATCAAATAGCATTAGGTTTCCATTACCGTTGTCAAATTTTAGGAGGGAACATATTTAATATCAAATGTGTCATTTCTAAAAATATTTAAGAAAATACCAGGCCATTATGTTATAGTAGGATCTATACAAAAAGTGCGTGGGAACAAATAAAAAACGAAACATTATCAACATTTTATAACATTATTCACACAAATGTCCTGTATTGAAGCCATCTCATTAGTTGTGATATATATAGAGGATCTGACACGAGTGTTCATATAATATTGAATTTATTAAACGAGTTTATTCATTTCATATGAAATTTATAAACGAGTTATATAAATTCAATATTACATGAACACGAGTGTTAGATTCTATTTATTATATAATTCGAGAAACACTCTTTTTCTTGACACGACTCCTCTATATAAACTACAGATGGCTGACGAAAGGACGCATTTCATGCATTTTGTTTGGAGCTCGCTGCGCCACAAACTTTTTTTTCAGAAACTTCTTCCCCAGAACCTTTTCAATGAACAAACAATCATTTAGAATTGGCGTTTACGAAAATAGCAGTGACGTCACATATTTGGCACAACGGCGCGTGCACTGTCAAGGTAAAGGTCATACCAATACACATCGAAGTCTGCACTTTTTAAAAGTTTATATGGACTGGAGTGATTGTCACTCTCTATAACACAGGGGCATTTCTTTGGAGAGGGTTGTTGGTAAATGTGAACTTCGATGTTTCCGCCTGTCACTGAGCCAGAAAATATACTGTAGAATCGAATCCGCCATGAAACTGGAATACTGATGAAGTTGACCGGTTACACGTGTTCGCCATTGATTGTGTGTATGTCGGAGGAGTTCAAGTGGAATTTGAACATGCATGTGTTGAATTTGTGTGAAGCTAACACTCGTGTTTATATACTATTGAATTTATTAAACTCGTTTGTTATTTTTATTCTCCCAGTGCCCCTGCCTCTGCTATCAATGCAAACACTAATTCGGTCAGCCATTTTGTTTACAAACGTAGAAGTTGTAGTGCTTAGGAATATGACCTGTTTCCCACGATGACAAAACTCATTTGCATGTTTATTGTACGTGTGCTATATCGTTTTTATTTAACAGCAATATTGCACGGAAATAGCCTGTATTATATAATCAAATTTAGTGTTAAGTGTATATCCTAACGGACTGAAGGCTAAACAGCAGTATATAGTTAGTTGTTTGATATAAAACGAATATACTGTGAAATAAATGTTATAAAATGTTGAAAATGTTTCGTTTTCGATTTGTTTCCACGCACCTTTTGTATAGAATTTACATAAACATAACTGTATGGTATTTTCATACATTATTTTTAGAAATGACACATTTGTTACTAAATATTTCTGCTCCTCATAGTTGATAATGATAATGGAAACCTATGGCTATTTAATATAGCTTTGTATAGCATCGTATCGAAACTGGAAGGTTATTTACGGTGTTTTCATTTTGCCTAGTGAAGAGCAAGTCTACTTTTGGAATCCAGGCGTTTTCATGTTTGACCTTTCCTCGATATGTAAAGTTAATATATACCTTTTACGCTAAGTGTTAAACATAGGAGTAACAGAGATAGTACAATGAACTCCAAATTGTATCAACAATGTATAGTTTATATATACCTTTCACCCTAACTGTCAAACATAGGAGTAACAGAGACCGCACAAAGATCTCCAACTTGTATCAACAATGTATAGTTTATATATACCTTTCACCCTAACTGTCAAACATAGGAGTAACAGGGATCGTACAATGAACTCCAACTTGTATCAACACTGTATAGTTAGTATATATCTTTCTCCCTACCTGTTAAAAATAGGAGTAACAGAGATCGTACAACGAACTCCAACTTGTATCAACAATGTATAGTTCATTGTACTATATCTGTTACTCCCATGTTTAACAGTTAGGGTAAAAGGTATATATAAACTATACATTGTTGATACAATTTCGAGTTCATTGTACGATCTCTGTTAATCCTATGTTTAACAGTTAGGGTAAAAGGTATATCCTAACTATACAGTGTTGATACAAGATAGAGTTCATTGTACTATCTCTGTTACTCCTATGTCTAACAGTTAGGGTAAAAGGTATATCCTAACTATACAGTGTTGATACAAGTTGGAGTTCATTGTACTATATCTGTTACTCCCATGTTTAACAGTTAGGGTAAAAGGTATAGTTAGTATATACCTTTTACCCTAACTGTTAAACATAGGAGTAACAGATATAGTACAATGAACTCCAACTTGTATCAACAATGTATAGTTTATATATACCTTTTACCCTAACTGTTAGACATAGGAGTAACAGAGATAGTACAATGAACTCCAACTTGTATCAACACTGGATAGTGAGTATATACCTTTTACCCTAACTGTTAAACATAGGAGTAACAGAGATAGTACAATGAACTCCAACTTGTATCAACACTGGATAGTGAGTATATACCTTTTACCCTAACTGTTAAACATAGGAGTAACAGATATAGTACAATGAACTCCAACTTGTATCAACAATGTATAGTTAGTATATACCTTTTACCCTAACTGTCAAATATAGGAGTAACAGATATAGTATATTGTATCAACAATGTATAAATCTTTCATTTTTTTTCAGAATAACAACATTTTCATACTGAAAACATGAAAGATTGATACTTGTTTATACTTGAATGTAAGTGTAGTTTTAACAAAGACAACCATTGAATGTGTATACGGTTAGTGTACTTTGCAATAACACTGAATATATAGGAAACATTGAAAGTGCTTTCTCTTATGTTAAGTATAATAGTAGTAAAAGTGAAAACTCACATCGTTTTAATCATATTCGACGATGTTTATATAATTTTAAATGCAATCGTTTCATATGATATTTCAGTGTTTTTTTTCTCGTAACTGGCATGTGTGTTGATAAAGGGATACTCGTTTTTTTCTATTTTTTGGTTTAAATCAATAAATAATCTTTCATCTACTTGACTTTCGGAATTATTACAATTACAATTATTGCAAGTTTATATGAAAATTCCAGTCTACTTTCATTTTTTTTTCTTTTCTTTTTTGTGTTTGATTTTTCATTTCAAAATTCATGTGACAGAAAGAGATACGCCTTAGTCAGGTGTTTGTTTATTAAGAAATACTTTAATTAATCAACCATATGGACATCGAGTGCTGAACTCGTCATACACCTTTCAGCATTACCGACATATTTACTGTGCCATTCATCCTATCAGCACCTCGTGTATATTTGTCCACTGGAACTGTTCAGCCAACCACGGGACCAGTAGAGTCGGTTAGTTGTGCTGGTAAAACGAAACATACGATGTTGTTGCCGCTATCGTCTTTTATCTCCCATTGGACAAGAAGCCTCATCTTAAAAATGGAATCAAAGACAATACAATGTAAATTATATTTTATGTTACGTGTGTTTTCCTTGTTTCAATCTATATAATATAATCACCAGAAATACAAAGTAAAGTATATTTTATGTTACATGTGTTTTCCTTGTTTCATCTACATAATATAATCACCAGAAATACAAAGTAAATTATATCTTATGTTACATGTGTTTTCCTTGTTTCAATCTATATAATATAATCACCAGAAATACATGTAAATTATATTTTATGATACATGTGATTTCCTTGTTTCAATCTATATAATATAATCACCAGAAATACAAAGTCAATTATATTTTATGATACGTGTGTTTTCCTTGTTTCATCTACATAATATAATAACCAGAAATACAAAGTAAATTATATTTTATGATACATGTGTTTTCCTTGTTTCAATCTATATAATGTAATCACCAGAAATACATGTAAATTATATTTTACGATACATGTGATTTCCTTGTTTCAATCTATATAATATAATCACCAGAAATACATGTAAATTATATTTTATGTTACATGTGTTTTCCTTGTTTCATCTACATAATATAATCACCAGAAATACATGTAAATTATATTTTATGTTACATGTGTTTTCCTTGTTTCAATCTATATAATAAAATCCCCAGAAATACAAAGTAAAATATATTTTATGATACATGTGTTTTCCTTGTTTCAATCTACATAATATAATTACCAGAAATACAAAGTAAATTATATTTTATGTTACATGTGTTTTCCTTATTTCAATCTATATAGTATAATCATCAGAAATATAAGAAAGCAAGAGTTATTTGTTTGGTAGATACAGAGAGTCAAATAAGGTTAAAATTCTACTGACCATTTTGTATTATTTTGCCCGGGTAGCAATGATCAGTGGTAATAAGGTCAAAACAATTATATTACATTTTTAAAGCGTTTGGATGCACATGTATAAGCACAGCAAGAGCATATATATAATTAACTACTAAATATATAACTTAATACTAAATATATAACTAAATACTAAATATATAACTAAATACTAAATATATAACTAAATACATAACTAAATACTAAATATATAACTAAATACTAAATATATAACTAAATACTAGCTATTTAACTAAATACTAAATATATAACTAAATACTAAATATATAACTAAATACTAAATATATAACCCATGGCCACAAAATATCAGCCATCCTAACTGTAAACTGCAAGAATGATTACCAGGCAAAAGTTTACCCTTAAGTTTTTATTGGTGATATCACAAGTCCAGTACTATGTAAGAAGTACCTGTGTTTTCACAGTTTCAGTCTATATAAAAGTGATGACAGCCGAAGCTTGGGCGTTGTGAGTTACAGGAGAAAGTAATTTGATTAAGTTTACAGCATGTTTATTTATAAAAGAAAAATCCATTTTCCTTCAGAAATTTCGAGTTTGAACGCACGTACATGTATCAGTGAAAAAACATACTAAGTTGTTGTTTCAGAACAAGTAAGGTTATTGTATAGTTTCATGACAATGTTTTACAGAACAATTTTTATTGTAGTGTTTCAAAATATCTTCAAATGCATTGTTTTAGGACACTTCTAAGAGTACAAGGACACCTCTCAGAATATTGTTTTGATAAAACAACTGTAAATTTATTATTTCAGAAAGCATGTTTGTGTAAGAAAATTTGTTCATGCAGTACTGTTGCAGTATTGTGTCATAACACTTTATAACTTTAAAACCCTGCCAGTACACATGAACGTATATCATTTCAGGACGAGCATTATAGCACTTGTTCAACGTATCACTTTAAGAAACATAATTCGAAATAACACGTGGTATTCATGTAACACATTTTGTGTGGCATAACCAAGTAATTATCATTGAGTAGTTATGTAACATATATAGACGTAGTTTGTATGGCGGATATGTAACATATATAGACGTAGTTTGTATGGCGAGTATGACCAACTAAACTATTGGGTAGTTATGTAACATATATAGACGTAGTTTGTATGGCGGGTAGAACCAACTAACCATTGGGTAGTTATGTAACATATATAGACGTCGATTGTATGGCGGGTATAACAAACTAACCATTGGGTAGTTATGTAACATAAAGACTTAGTTTGTTTGATATAGCTAATATTACTTACCAGTGGGTAAACAGGTAACACGGATACGTAGTTGGTGTAGATGTTTCTGGAGTTGGCAGCAACTGGACAGGCTAAGTTATTGCTTTTGCAGCTGTCGTGTGGCACTGTGAGGAATGGCACTGGAAGTCCCAGAATTATCCCATACACAAAAGTGGAAACGTTAGATGTCTGTACCTCTGTAATATCAAAAACATATTGAAATGAAATATAAATAGTTTTGGTTTTATCGTTTGCAAATATAAAATTAAAGATAGACCATAATTATAGTCAGAGATGTAGTGGTAACAGTATTCATTATTCTAAAAGGCTGACTTGTTCGGGCTTGCGTCCATACATATTATTGCAAGTGTTTATTATTATTTCAAAGTGTCAGTTAAACATCATAGGATACATTTATGTGTATTTAGAACGCTATAGAAAAAGTGTTTGTATTGAAAACTTTAGTCCTTTCTACATGAGTAACCAAAGCTAGAGAAGGCCGTTTATGTTTAAAAGTAATACGTTCTCATTTTATACATGCATACACTGTATCACGAAAATGGGGAAATCCAGCTTCAATAAAAAACGTTAAAATAGCAACAGGAATTCCCAAAAGTTGTCCGAACTTATTTTCCTGATTCATTAAAAAAATAAATTAGATTACGTGTGCCCTTTTGAGCCAATCACGATCCTTTTCACAGGCATAAACATACCAATTTGGATAATACATACATACATGTATCCTTGAAAATATCGCATTACACAAACAGAAGCAAATCATTTGATTAATTTTGTTTTAGGATATTAAGTTAAGGACAATAACAATAAAAAATATATATATAAAGATGTTGAAATGATCTGAGATGTCGAGAGTACCTGAGTAAATGTCGACATCAGTATAAGTTATTGCCGAATATACTCGCAGTTTCCGATTTAATTTTCCCTAGATATTTATCCAATAGTATGTGACTTGACTTCGTCGTGTTAATATTCGGTTGTGATATCGACTTACTACATACACTTGTTTCTCTTTCAGCAACAGGAAACAATATTATATTCAACAGATTATATAACCGACTGTATATGTATGATTATTCATGCCCTGGCTTGATGATTCGTACCTAAATTAAACAATCGCGTATTCATTTGTGAATTCAATATTTGTCATATGATGTTATGAAAGCATTAATACCGTGAGCACTAGTGATAGCGGGGTATTCCTTTAAGGAGTTTTGTATTGACCTTAAACATTAGTTACTAGACTTATTGTGTCAATACTTGACATAAACTGTTCTCTCGAGAGAAAATATTAACATGCTTGATTTAATGACAAAATAAAACAAATCAGTTCTACAGATGAATCAAGAAAGGGGCGTTTTTATATTTTCATTCGTTGATTCATGCATACTGTTGGAACTCTGAACAAAATGCATTCATGGTCTTAGCGATACATATTTCCGCTTAAACAATATGCGGTATTTATGTATGGCATATTACGGAACCCAACTTCCGCTGATGCAGATCATTATGGCTAAGGTGATGCAGCTGACTACAGAGCGTGTTGGCTATTCTTTAACTAGTATTATGTACTTTCTATCATCTTCCCTATAGTGCTCTAGACATTCTAAATCTGCAATCAAGCATTATTGTGAGCAAAGAAGACAGGAAAGATTTTTTTTTAAATTTCAATATAGATTAGCATGACAATTCGTCTTTATCCCCACAGACAAAAGCATCGGTTGCATCTGTGTATAATCTCAAATTAATGTCAATTCGGCTTAATAATAATCCTTCCTTTTGATCGCACACACGCTGGCTCAACTCTTGTTAGTTTATCGCATTCAAAAATAAAAATTCATCTGTTAGTATTGCCTATCTATTGAAGTGACAAATGAAAGCCATTGTGATGGTAATGTAGAATAGAATAAGAACGAGTGCTGGCACTGCACTGGATGTCACCATTTCAGTGTAACCTGTTTGAATCGACTTTAGCTATTTTGACAATTGATTCTTTATTATATTAAATAAAATGTTAGCTTTCTGTTAATACGATATTCTTAATATACCCGTAAGCATCCGTATGTTGGTGAATATCTGTTTAATTAAGAGGATAGGCCTTACTCTAATAAGTAAATTGATCTTCGCAGTCTACGCCGTATGTGTTAGGTATGTATTGTTGTACTACCATACTCCTACATTTACTGGAGTTCTGAACAACTCCAACATTTACTGGAGTTCTGAACAACTCCAACATTTACTTGAGTTCTGAACAACTCCAACATTTACTGGAGTTCTGAACAACTCCAACATTAACTGGAGTTGTTAGTTATTCCTACATTTACCGGAGTTCTCTACAACTCCAACATTTACTGTTGTTCTTAACATCTACCTCATTAACTGGGGTTCTTAATTCCCACATTTACTAAAGTTCTTAACAATCCCTGCATTTACTTGGGCTTCTAATCATGAAAATAACTTAAATTATTTCATTTAGCTGGAATTGAGTCGACTACCACATTTTCTTTGGTTGTAACCGGTCAATTCAATACACAACGGATAGTTCTAGGAGCAGTATTTACCGGGGTTTTGATAACGTATAGCATTGAAGCTCTCCTCTAGACATATTAAATGGACCTTGTACTTACTTGACGTGAAATCAACCTCTACCGACACATTGGTTCCTCGAAGCAAGTCACACGGATTGTGCAAACAGGGAGGCGTTAATTTTATGGAGTTTATATGCCCTGACGTTGAGCCTGAAAACAGAAAATTATAGCAAACAAGCTTCGAATATTCACGTTAAAAAGCTATTTCTTCGCCTTTTGCCTTTTCTGATATCAAACTTGTAAAAAGATTTGAAAGTGAATATTTAACCAAATATGTATAAAGGTACCGGCGGCTTCGTCTCTGGTTTCTCTTTTTAAATGGATGATTAGACAAATTAGCCATTCCACAGTGAAATAATCACCAGAAATACGAAGTAATGTTTCGTTAATGCAGAACGTCAAACATAGTAAGTATTTCTTAACAATAAAGTCATTTCGTCCCTCATAAGTGGTAGTAAAGTAATCAGAATAATTGGAATACAAAACGATATGAGCTTTCCTGCTTAGAGCATATACATGATTTACAACTCCCAATAAAGGTTCTACAGGAAAGGCTATTTAATTATCATTATTCGACACCACATAATCACAAAACAAACACTATTGGAAGTACAAAATTTAGATGGTAGATATTTCTTGATATCTTTCTTGTCATTTTGTAAACGAATTTGATTTGATTATCCGTACAACTTCAACAAAACTGTAAAGCGGTGGTGCTTCGTCCTCGTACACAAATGACAATACCAATTACATCAAAGATAACTTACCACAATCTCGGTAGTCGGTTAGGGCATTAATAGCGGATAAAGTTAAAATAACGACCAAAATGCTCAGTGTCTTCATTTTGACGGCAGGCTGAAAAAGTGTGGCCCAAACAGACATATATAACTCTTTTGTGTGGTCTGATGTCTGGAAAAGGAGATGGTCTGATTTTTGGAAGGTCAGTTTGAACGTTTCTTATTTGTTTATAGACGTGGCGCGATATGTCTCCCTAGGAATGTTGATCCCCTAGCTTAACCTTATCGGTGGTGGGGTGTATCTACCCATGGTTTGACTGGGTGCCAGCCGGATACGGACTTTGTCCATAGCTTTTAGAATAGCCTTGATAAACTGTTAAGTGTATCTGAGTATGCTTATCTGTCCTTGAACTCATATATTACAATTTTTGTCGTCTTGTCCATTTTGTAAAAGAACCGATATTATATACCAGGACTAAACTGTTTCAAAATATCTGAATTACGTACCTGGTTTGAAGCAAATGCAATTAAATAGAGATAATTAAAGCAATCCGATAATAGCAGTGTCGATGAAATTAATTACAGAATAGGGGATTTTTTTAAAAGAAAATATTATCCATGCAACATCTTTTACGTTTCAGCAATTTTCTCCGATCAGTTGATAAAATATCTTAATTTTTGTAAGAATAATCTTTATTTAGCAAAGTGTGCCAAGTAAAAGAACATAAAGCACTGCAATAAAACGACAAATATTCCTTTGACACATGACCGATACACATACTAACGACCGATACACATACTAACGACCGGTACACATACTAACGACCAGTACACATACTAACGACCGATACACATACCAACAACCGATACATATACTAACGACCGTTACATATACTAACGACCGATACACATACCAACGACCGGTACACATACTAACGACCGGTATACATACTAACGACCGGTACATATAACAACGACCGATACATATACTAACGACCGGTACACATACCAACGACCGGGACATACACCAACGGCCGGTACACATACTAACGACCGGTACATATACCAACGACCGGTACATATACTAACGACCGATACACCTACTAACGACCGGTACATATACTAACGACCGGTACATATACCAACGACCGATACACATACTAACGACCAGTACACATACTAACGACCGGTACACATACCAACAACCGATACATATACTAACGACCGGTACATATACTAACGACCGATACACATACCAACGACCGGTACATATACTAACGACCGGTACATATACCAATGACCGATACACATACTAACGACCGATACACATACCAACGACCGATACACATACTAACGACCGGTACACATACTAACGACCGATACACATACTAACGACCGGTACACATACTAACGACCGGTACATATACCAACGACCGATACACATACTAACGACCAGTACACATACTAACGACCGATACACTTACTAACGACCGATATACATTCCAACGACCGATACATATACTAACGACCGGTACATATACTAACGACCGATACACATACCAACGACCGGTACCTATACTAACGACCGGTACATATACCAACGACTGATACACATACTAACGACCGATACACATACTAACGACCGATACACTTACTAACGACCGATACACATACTAACGACCGGTACATATACCCACGACCGATACATATACTAACGACCGGTACACATACAAACGACCGATACATATACCAACGAGCGGTACATATACCAACGACCGGTACACATACTAACGACCGATATACCCATACTAACGACCGGTACACATACTAACGACCGCTACACATACTAACGACCGATACACTTACTAACGACCGGTACACATACTAACGACCGGTACATATAACCACGACCGATACATATACTAACGACCGGTACACATACAAACGACCGATACATATACCAACGAGCGGTACATATACCAACGACCGGTACACACACCAACGGCCGGTACACATACTAACGACCGATACATATACCAACGACCGATACACATACTAACGAACAGTACACATACTAACGACCGATACACATACTAACTACCGATACACATACCAACGACCGGTACATATACTAACGACCGGTACATATACCAACGACCGATACACATACTAACGACTGATACACATACTAACGACCGGTACACATACTTACGACCGATACATATATACCAACGATCGATACACATACTAACGACCGATACACATCCTAACGACCGATACACATACCAACGACCGATACACATACCAACGACCGGTACTTATACTAACGACCGATACACTTACTAACGACCGATATACATTCCAACGACCGATACATATACTAACGACCGGTACACATACAAACGACCGATACATATACCAACGAGCGGTACATATACCAACGACCGGTACACATACTAACGACCGATATACATACTAACGACCGGTACATATAACAACGACCGATACATATACTAACGACCGGTACACATACCAACGACCGATACATATACCAACGACCGGTACATATACCAACGACCGGTACATACACCAACGGCCGGTACACATACTAACGACCGGTACATATACCAACGACTGGTACATATACTAACGACCGGTACATATACCAACGACCGATACATATACTAACGACCGGTACATATACCAACGACCGGTTCACATACTAACGACCGATATACATACTAACGACCGGTACATATAACAACGACCGATACATAACGACCGGTACATATACCAACGACCGGTACACATACTTACGACCGATACACATACTAACGACCGGCACATATACCAACGACCAGTACATATACCAACGACCGGTACATATACCAACGACCGGTACATATACTTACGACCGGTACACATACTAACGACCGATATACATACTAACGAACGGTACATATAACAACGACCGATACATATACTAACGACCGGTACATATACCAACGACCGGTACACATACTAACGACCGATACACATAATTACGACCGGTACATATACCAATGACCGGTACACATACTAACGACCGGTACATACAACAACGACCGATACATATATACCAACGACCGGTATACATTCTAACGACCGGTACACATACTAAGGGCCGGTACATATACTTACGACCGGAACATATAACAACGACCGGTACATATAACAAAGACCGATACATATACTAACGACCGATACACATACCAACGACCGGTACATATAATAACGACCGGTACACATACCAACGACCGGTACACCTACTAACGACCGGTACATACAACAACGACCGATACATATATTAACAACCGGTACATATACCAACGACCGGTACATATAACAAAGACCGATACATATACTAACGACCAGTACATATAACACCGACCGATACATATATTAACAACCGGTACATATACCAACGAACGGTACATATACCAACGACCGGCACACATACTTACGACCGATTCACATACTAACGACCGATACATATAACAACGACCGATAGATATATTAACGACCGGTACAGATACCAACGACCGGTACACATACTTACGACCGATTCACATACTAACGACCAGTACATATAACAACGACAGATACATATATTAACGACCGGGACATATACCAACGACCGGTTCACATCCTAACGACCGATATACATACTAACGACCGGTACACCTACTAACGACCGATACACATACTAACGGCCGGTACATATACCAACGACCGATACACAGACTAACGACCGATTCACATACTAACGACCAGTACATATAACAACGACCGGTACATATAATAACGACCGGTACACATACTAACGACCGGTACACATACTAACGACCGGTACACATACTTACGACCGATACACATACTAACGACCAGTACATATAACAACGACCGATACATATATTAACGACCGGTACATATACCAACGACCGGTACACATACTAACGACCGGTACACATACTAACGACCGGTACATATACCAACGACCGGTACACATACTAACGACCGATACACATACTAACGACCAGGACATATAACAACGACCGATACATATACTAACAACCGGTACATATACCAACGACCGGTACACATACTAACGACCGGTACATACACCAACGACCGATACGCATACTAACGACCGGTACACATACTAACGACCGATATACCACGTATATATATTATAAACAACCACGTATATATATTATAAACAACCACGTATATATATTATAAGCAAACCACGTATATATATTATAAACAAACCACGTATATATATCATAAACAACCACCTATATATATATATATATATATATTATAAACCACCACGTATATGTATTATTAACCATTACGTATATGTATTATAAACCATCACGTATATATATTATAAACAACCACGTATATATATTATAAACAACCACGTATATATATTATAAACAACCACGTTTATTTATTATAAACGACCACCTATATATATATATATATATCATATAATGCAGCATTCCTTGGGCTTATAAAATGGGAACCAAAACATGTGGCGTATTTTTTGGTCCCCACCTTAAACCAGAGACAATATTAACATTTTTCATGAATAATATTAAAATTCTATAACTGTCGTCTTTTCTAATGAATAAAAACGGCCATTATCAATGCTACACCAAGGTCGTTGTTATATATATTGAGTTGGTCCTGTATAAATATTGATATAGATCTAATTTGTTACCTGGGATCGGTCAATACCTGTCAATACTTCGGCACTCCTGTGAATTTCTTTTTATCTATGTAACACATAATTTAATTCCTAATTTTTTATGTAACATGTGATTGAATTCCTTTTTATTTATGTAACACGTGAATGAATTTCTTTTTATTATGTAACACATGAATGATTCCTTATTATTTGTGTAACACATGTCTGAATTCCTTTTCATTTATGTTACACATGAATTAATTCTTTTTATTATGTAACATACGAATGAATTTCTTGTTATTTTGTAACACATGAATGAATTCTTTTTATTATGTAAGACATGAATGCATTTCTTTTTATTATGTAACACATGAATGAATGTCTTTTTATTATGTAACACATGAATGCATTTCTTTTTATTTATGTAACACATGAATGAATTTCTTTTAT